AAATATCATTGCATTTATTTAAACAATTTTGTGACTGTGTATTTATGACGTTGTCTTAAAGCTACAATTTTTTTTTGTTACTTTTTTTTTTTGCAACGGTACCTATTATAGTCGCAAAAAACTCACTTTTTTTTTTTTATTGGGTTGCGATGGCAGTTGGTGCCATCGCAAAAACTTTATTTTTTCATGACAGCAATCTCTGCCGTCGCAAAGACCCTCATTTTTTGCGACAGTAGTTTCTGTTGTTTTGGAAAGTTGGTAAAAAGCTGGCTTTTGGCTTTTTACCAAGCTTTTTGGCTTTTTTGGAAGTGATTTGGGAAGTTGATAAAAAGTTGGCTTTTTGCTTTTTAGTTTAATATTTATTTATGGTATCAAATCAAATTAAAATGACCAAAATACCCTTACCCAACATAAGAGATTTATTTTTTTATTTTTTTAGAGAAATGTTATATCAAAAGAGTAAGACGACGTTGTTTTTTTAAATTTTTTTGTGACAGAAAAATATCGTTGCATTTATTTAAACAATTTTGTAACTGTGTATTTATGACGTTGTCTTAAAGCCATAATTTTTTTTTGTTACTTTTTTTTTTTGCAACAGTACCTATTATAGTCGCAAAAAACTCACTTTTTTTTTTTATTGGGTTGCGATGGCAGTTGGTGCCATCGCAAAAACTTTATTTTTTCATGACAGCAATCTCTGCCGTCGCAAATACCCTCATTTTTTTGCGACAGTAGTTTCTGTTGTTTTGGGAAGTTGGTAAAAAGCTAGCTTTTGGCTTTTTACCAAGCTTTTTGGCTTTTTTGGAAGTGATTTGGGAAGTTGAGAAAGTTGGCTTTTTGCTTTTTAGTTTAATATTTATTTATGGTGTCAAATCAAATTAAAATGACCAAAATATCCTTACCCAACATAAGAGATTTATTTTTTTATTTTTTTTTCATAGGCCATAATTTGCAATTTTAGGGTTGCGTTTTTGGCACTTCTCAAAGAGATTTTGTTGGGTTTTTGACAGCCATGTTTTTGGACATTACTATGTTCCCAAAATGGCACTTTATGTTGTCGCAAATACTCTCATTTTTTGTGACAACATTTTCTGCCGTCTCAAATACTCTATTTTTCTGCGACAGTAAATAGTGCCGTCGCTAAAACTCACATTTTTTGCGACGGCAAATTGTGCTGTCTCAAAAAGTTACTTTTTGAGATGACGAGTGTGCCGTTTGCAAATGCTTCCATTTTTTAAGCTCACTTTTCTTGTCGTGAATGACAACAAATATACTGTACTAAAATATTTTAAAAAAATTATCTAAAATGATAGATCAATGATTTATATTTGAAATTGTTTTTGTGGGGTCACTTTTTAAGTGAATTTTAGTAATAAACTTTAAAATTCTGAATATTTTTGAAATAATAAACGAATCTTTTGAGTATATAAAAAAGTGGGAAGGGACGGCAGGAGGCAACCAAAGCAATTGACCTGTTTTGTTTATAAATAAATATGAATTGGGACTTTTAGTTGGTCAAAAGAATGACAGTAATGTCATAAAAATTTTCACAAATTTATCCATGATATTTAAAATTATTGTTATTGGGTTATTTCTTGAGAGAATCTGGGTCATGGATTTAAAATTATGACAATTTTGTGGATTTTTTTAATTCCTGAATTTGTAGCATCAATGAAAGAATCAGTTTGATTTAGAATTTTTAAAAATAATTTTTGAATTTTTAATCTGTATTTTCTAGTTTTTAGTATTTTAATAAAAAAATTTAATTTTTAAATCTTCTTAATCTAAATACACTTAAAAGTATAAAATTTGGGAAAAAATCTTTTAAAAACTTACTAAATACAAAAAAAAAAAAACATTTTTTTATATTTATTGAATTTTTTATATTTTTTTAAGTACATTTAGATTATGTACATCTAAAATATAAAAAGAGTAAGGGTTCCTTTGGAATTTGATTTCTAGTAGTTTTTTTGATATTTTACAAAAAGATGTGAAAAAAATAAATATAATTTTTGTATTATTTTTAATTTTTTTGATTATTTGAACAATTACCAAATATGATGTAAATATTAAAAAAATTACTAAACAATAAATTATGAAAATTAAAAAATTGAAAATTGAAAATTTAAAAACTAAAAATTATTTTTAAAATTCAAAACCAAAAATGAATTTTTTTGTATATAAAGAAATGGAGGGACGGCAAGTGGAAACCGAAGTGATCCAAACTCCAAACCGGTATTTGGACGGGTCGGACCAAAACCGGTATATCCAACGCCCCGACGCAAAATGGGCGGCACTCCCAATCCCATTTACCTCCAACTTTTTACTTGCCAAAAGGTGGTCATCTTAATAAGTTAAAATTTTTATGATTAGGAAGAAAATTAATTTCTTTTATAATTAAATATGATGTTTGTAAAAAAACGAAAAGAAATAATTATGGGTTTAAAATAATATTTTTATCTTATTAACTATTTTAATTTATTTTATCTGTTTTGTGAATTTTAACTAAAAAAACTCAAATTTAACTTCCCAAACACCTCCATCCATCTCTTCAAATGTAGAGTTTTGAGATTAGTGGTCAAGATGATTATTCAATTTTGAAATAAATCAAGATTTAATTATTATTTATAGTTTTACAAAATTTAAAATCAAATCAAATTATAGAAATCTTGAAATCAAATCGAATCGAACCAATTATTTAAAATTAATTTTGTCATTATATAAGAACACTTTTATAAGAGAAATGGATTAATTAAGACATTTGACTTAGTAATTATATAACACCATTTTTGATGTTAGGGTTGCAAACGAACCGAGCCGAGCCGAGCTTTAGTGTGTTTTGTTTGAGCTTGTTTATTAAGATTTTAACGAGCTCGAGCTCGAGCTGAATAAAAATTTAACGAATCGAGCTCGAGCCGAGTTGGCTTAAGCTGGACTCGAGTTCAAGCCTGTTCACGAACCTTAACGAGCCAAAAAATTTATAAATTCATACTTGCATGTGAAACTAAAGTTACAATTAAAACTTTGATTATACAATTATATATACAATATATATAAACATACTAAAAAAAAGTTCATATTTTACTAAAATAATAATATCTACTACCACTATTATATAAATGTACTATCTATAGTTAAGTATTATTTACATTTATATTATTTAATATATAAATAATAAATATTAAACGAGCCAGCTAACGAGCCAAGCTTTAGACTGTTTGGGCTTGTTTATTAAAAATTTAATGAGCTCGAGCTCGAGCTCGAACAGCAAAAAAAATTAACGAATTGAGTTTGAACGAGCTCTTACCGAGCCGAGTTCGAGCTTGTTCATGAACGGCTTTGTTCATTTGCAGCCCTAGAGGTGTATATAAATGCATAGACCAAGATATGTGAGTGTCCTAAATAAATAAATAACACTTTTGTGTATAAATGCATAGACCAAATTGTAAAATATGAATAGACTATTTTAAGAATTAAAACTAAATTGTGTATTAAGAAAATCAATATACCATTTGGTCTCAATCGGTTCAATTTACAATTTTTTAATGTTTTGACTCGGTTCTAATTGAGGCTATAGCAATCAGTTGACTTTTAAACTCTTAAATTTTAAAATCATACAAAAAATTATTTTAAAAATCATTCAAGAAGATTCAAACACTTTTACACAACGAGTACACAACGAATGCATTATGATGATCTGTTTTTCGCTTTCATGTTATTTAAAAAGTGTGAGCTCTACAAGTTTAAATGAGAAGAGAGTATATATTATCATGATATGTCTGTTCCTCTAAGTATCATTTCTCAATTTTGACTCCTTCCTTAACAAAGGAAAAAAAACAGAAAAAGAAAAGAGAGAAATTATGCCCGTATTTATATAATTTGTCTCTTTTGTTAATTTGATATTTGTAATATCAATTTTATTATTTTATTTTTTTACATTATTCTAATTAATTCAATTGATAGCATCTATTAATAAATGTGAAAGAAATAACAAAATAAACAAATCATTTCAAATTACATGTCAATTTTTCAGTTACTTTTAAAAGAGTGAATACATAATTTTACCTCTTAATTTAGTCTAATTTTTAAATAAATATCAACAATGATAGAGACCACTAATTTTGGAACTCTAAAAAGACCACTAATGACATGACACTTAATAAAAAAAGAAAAAAAATACAACACCAAGACTAAAACATCAAATCATTCATGGTGGGACCTACTGTCACATTATTAGTGGTAGCACTAATTAGTGCTGTCACTTATTTTTCAAGAAATATTATCAATTAGAACCCATAAGTCTGAGTTTGGAAACTTTTCCAAATACTTTTTGAAGCCTCGTTTGGGAATCTTTTTTTTTAGTTAAAAGTTAAAAAGTTATTAAATTAGTCAAAAATTAACAACTCATACAAAAAAGTCAAAGATTCTCTTTTTTCTCTACTTTTTACACATCTTTTTGTAAAAAATTAAAAAGTCATTTCAAATATACTAATTTTTTTAATTCATATTTTAATTAAATAATTAAAAAATTATTAAATTAAAGTATTCCCAAACGAGACAAGGATGCACGTGGCCGGCTGTAGAGCCAGCTAAGGACTAGACTGTGGTTAACGGTAGAGCCAACTAAGGACTAGACTGTGATGAGGTTTTGATAATTAGATTACCAATTCCATATATATAAGACCATTTCCCACGTTGAACCAAACTCAGCATCAAATTTAAATTTTGATGAAAAATTTATTTTTTTAAGCTCCAACCGTTGCACCAGATTGATATCAAACACAATTTTTGTAGGTACAATGGCTAGTTTTGACAATTTTAAGCCATTGTGACCATAAAAATCATGACCCTCTACCATTATTGATAAAATATTTAATGATTCATTTGATAAAAAATTCGAGCCGGATCACTTTTCATAAAAATTTACTACTTTACTTTCCGGTTTTCCACTTATTTACAGCCCCTCATTCTCTCACTCTATATCTCTCCACCTCCAAAAGTCAGCGCCTTCCTTTGTCCCCTCTCTCTCTCTCTCTTTCCACTTTCTTTCTCTTTCTCTCTCTAGAAAACCAAAGCAGAGCAGAATCAGAGAGAATGGCGGATGATAACTGGGATCTACATGCGGTGGTGCGAGGCTGCGCCACCACTTCCTCCACCACCACCACTTCAGATTCTTATACTCCATCAATATTTCAAGCACTAGATGATCATAGATTCCGATTCTTTGCAGATCCATTTGAAGAAGCAAAGACTAGTAGTGTTGAAGACTTGAATGATCTTTTTAAACCCTTCTTCCCCAAAATATCATTACAAAAACAACAACCTCCTCAAATTAAACCCTTCTCTTCACCACCCTTGTCTGTTCTTCATGGATTTCAAGATCTATCGTCGCCGCTGCTACCACCACCACCACCACAACAAAGGCAACATCATCAAAGCCAACATCAAAAGCAATCTGCTTCTACTCATACCACTAGTTCAAGGTCCAGAAAAAGGTTAAATTTATTCTATTGTTTGGTTTCCTTCAAAATCTTTTAAAAATTAACCATCGTCTATGTATGAATTGACTTTTCTTAGTATTGTTTTAAAAAAAACGTATAAAAAATAAATAAAATGATATGATAACTTATGATTTTTTTTTTCTTCTCAAATTAAAATGTTTGGCTCCCAAGGATCTCCAAAAAATTATGTTTAGTGGAAAATTAAATGATCATTCTTGTACTATTTTATCTTTTTAATGCTAAATTATATTTTTAGTACTTATTTTCATAAAAACAATTTGGGCAAATTTTACCATATTTCACTGTTATTTATTTCATATCCGATTTACTCTTGACAATTTTAAAATATTTATGGAGTAAAATTTACTATTTATATAATTAACGACGTAAATGGAAAGATTAAAAACTCTCGTAAACTATGAGCTTTTTGACCATTTTTTAGGCTCAAAGTCGATTTACTTTAAGTGTGATTTATTTCTTAAAATTTGGATGTGAGCAGCCCTTTGATTAAGCATCTGTTTCCCACTTATTTGACCGAGCACTTTAATTTATGGATTACAAAAAATTATGTTTTTATTTCTAAATAATAAAAGTCAAATTGCACATGGAATAAATTATAAGAGTAAAATAAAATTCATCCTTGTATATTTTTCAAGAAAAAATCAATAAATAAATTTTGAAAACCAAACCAAATTGAACATACCCATCTCTTAAACTGAGCTCTGTGAATGGTTATGCTTGTTTTCTTGGGTCATAGGAAAAACCAGATGAAGAGGGTTTGTGAAGTACCAGCTGAGGGTTTGTCTTCTGACACATGGTCTTGGAGAAAATATGGCCAAAAACCCATCAAAGGCTCTCCCTACCCAAGGTCAGTTTCTGGGGGAATTTGCATTTCATTTGCGCAATGTGAAAATAATTTTATTTTTATAACGGTGCAAGTTTTTTTTTTTTTTTGGTATAAGATGCAAAATTTTCTTGTATTAGTGCAAGTTTTTTTCTATGTGCTTGATTTGTATCGACAAAAAAATATTCCACTTCTTTTGCTTTGGCAAATCATGATTGCTTCCTTTTCAACCAACCAAACAATATATTTTGCGTTAATCTTTTTGTGTTCTATATTTATCTGCATTTAGCATTTTTGAAAATCATAATATTAAAATGATCCTATCTTCTTATCACAATTGTTTATCACATTGATTTTATGGATCTCAGCGTTGATATTTGTTATCAAACAAAATATAATTATCATAGCATTATCGTAACGAGCATATGTGAGAATGAGAAGTAGTATCATAAAAGATAAGTTAAAGGAGAATAAATTGAGATGGTTTAATCATATATAACGGATACAAATAAGTAATAAAGTGATGAGATACAATGACGGTATATGGTAGTGTCAAGAGGAGGGATAGACCTAAATTAATATGGACTAATGTAGTAAATAGATATATGAATCTCCTTAATTTGATTAACGAAATGACCTTATATAGAGTCAATTGAAAAAAAAATGATTCATGCAGCCAATTCCATTTGATGACAATTAAGATTTGATTTGATTTGAATTGGTTTAGCATTAATGTAATATTGATTACGAATCCAAATCCTTTTCATTGTAAAATGAAACAGAAATATTCATTTGATGATAAGATCGTGTTGTTAAATTATTTTTATTTTCAATTAAAAAATTGTTAATTTTTTTTTGAAAAAAAATTCAAATCCAATTAACAACCATAAATTTTGAATAACTAAATTCAAATTGCACTATTTTAACATTTTTGATGTAACTTCAATTAATTTTTTTTTTTTAAAGCAAAAATTGCATTGAACTTGGCTCTTGAAAGTGACAAAACACTTCATAAACACCATCTCCATCTAGTTCTTGTCCTTATTCATTCAATTCTTGCATGTGTTCAAGGCATGGACAAAGTCGTTTTTTTTTATTTTTTTCTTTTCCTTGTGGACAAAAACAGAGGCTATTACAGATGTAGCACTTCAAAGGGTTGTTTGGCCCGAAAACAAGTGGAGCGAAGCAGATCCGACCCGGGAACCTTCATCGTCACCTACACGGCGGAGCACAACCACCCTATGCCCACCCACCGGAATTCTCTCGCCGGAACCACCCGCCAGAAGACCACCGCAGGAGGCGGCTCCGGCGAAACCCACCAACCCACTTGCTCGTCTCCGGTGTCGCCGGCGAGTGTATCTCCGGCGACTGAAAAGATGGTGGAGGATGAAGATGATGATGAGTTTGATGTCTCTGATACGGTGGTTGGTGATGATTTCTTTGAGGGTTTGGAGGAACTCACCGAAACATTTGCCGGAGATCGGTTCTCTGACCAGTTTCCGGGGAGTTTGGCGTATCCTTGGGTGGCTAAAAATGCTACAACAACCGCCGGCGGCGATGGCTGACTCGCTGGAAAAGTGATTCTCTGACATGGGTATATGGTGGATGCTTTTTTAACCGTTGACTTTTAATGAGAGTTTTTTTTTTTTTTTACCAAATTCATTATTTTGAAACAAAATTTCAAGGCCCAAAGTTGTTTTGAATTTAAAATTCAAATCCGGGTTATTTTAAAGATTTTTTTAAAATTGTGCTTTGTTTAAACTTTTTGGAACATGGTTTGAAAATTTTTTAGAATAAATTATTTTGTGATTCAGTTCGGGTGTTTGAAGTGAAGGTGCAAGGTGCACGTGACATCAGCATTTTATATAAATTTGGTGATTTAGATTTTGTCTATATAGAAATTTAATATTAGATTCAGGGTAAAAATTTTGAATTGAATTAAATGGTTTCATAAATAGACAAAATTTAAATTTTAATTTATGAAAAATATGATGATGTTACTCATACGATTTTTCGCTAAGCCAACCAAACCTGAGATATAGAGAAGTCGTTTTCTTTAAAATCAACTTGAATTTTCGAAATAAATTTAAAACAAATTGTTGTATTTGAGAATTTTGTTTAAAAAAAGGCATGAGTTTGGTAAATAACTTGAAGTTTTCTAGTGGCAAAGAATCTTTCCAATTACAATTGCAATTTGCAAGTGTGAGGTAAAATTCCCTATTCCATTGTAGCGAGGCTTGTAGAGGCAAAAAGGAGTTTATTCCATGTTTCTAGGTGCATTTTATAATAATGATTTATATGAGTTTAATAATTCTTCACAATCATGATCAATTTCTCTTTACCTTGCGATTATTATTATTAATTTTGTTGATTTGTTGTTTTGGTTGGTTTTGATTGGAATCTTTAGAACATATGTCAATGGGCATGATGAGATTTTAACATAAGGTAGGTGTGTCAATTATGCTAAAATAGATCGTTACCCAACTTTCTTTATCTATGTCCTTGTGGAGTTCTAGAACATATAGTATACTCTTTCTCGAGTACATAAATGTTGGGTTAACCACTCTTTTGTACTTTTTTTTTTTTCCTCCATTTTTTTTTGGGGGTTTTAATTCAGATCCACATTGATGATTTAAATTGCTTATTTTGTAAATTTCGCAATAAAAGTTATCGATACAAAAAAATGAGTTTTATCAAACAATTATAAACACAAGAAAAAAAAAATTACATTTTATTTTATAAAATGAACGACAAATGTGGTTATAAAGTTAAACCATCTGTTTTATAAAATAAAATGATAGTTGTTTTTTTTCCGATAGAGTTGATATTTTACATGTATAACCATTATGGAGAGGTTTATAAGATAGATAGTTCGGATCATAAGTGCGGGTCCAAAATTAAGGTCACAAGAGCATTATAGAGAGGTATACAGAGATGAGGTATGTAAGGGGAGCATATATTCCATTGTGTTTAGATCATGCATTTTGATAGGGATTTAAAAAGAAAAATAAATAAATAAACAATTTCATTTCCATTTTACTCATTTTTCTTTTCAAATTTATGATACAAACCCAATATGTATTTGAATAAAATTTAAAAACATAAAAAGGTGAATAAAATACGAGTTTACTATTTTTATTTTTATTTTTATTTCCTTTGTTTTGTTTCTTCTTTTTTCAAATCTTTATTTATTTATTTTTTTAGAGCAAACTTTATTTTACCTCCATGTGATCTGGGTTATGTGCGTTTTACTCTCTAACGTTTAAAAATGAACATATAACCTCCACGTGGTTTGTCAATTAAAGTGTACAGTTAAACATTCTGTCCAACTTAACAACAATTGTGAAACACGTGACAAATATATGGGGGTTATATGCTTATTTTCAAATTTCAAATAGGTAAATCACACATGAAATAAAGTATAGGGGTTAAAGTACACTTTAACTTCCACAGAAATGACTCAAATATTCATAGTTTACACACTTAAGTTACTTACATACATGGATATTTTAGTCTTTTTCATTAAATTGTTAACAAGCCTAACGATGCATTGTACCTTACAAGTTATGTGGGGGTTATGTGGTATCATTTCCAAAACGTTGAGGGGATAAATTGCACATGATCTAAATTATAGGAAAAATTATATTTCCACACACCTACATATCTCAGTGCACATCATTTTTCAGTAAACACATTTATTAATTTGATTATTAATTATTTTTCTCAATCCACATAATAAATGTTCAATTTTATCCTTTACTCGTACTATTGTACACACACCAACCGCTTCTGCCACACACTTGTTAAGTAGACCATTGCTACGATTTTAGACTTACCGAAAATTGTAAACCCACACTGATGTGGTTGCAGACACACATTGAAGACCAAGTGAAAACCACAGTCTTTCATTCCATTGAAGACCCTATGGCCATCGCTCTCAAACACAATAGAAATCCGTCAAGTCATTGATCATGGGCATAAAAAATTTCCATCAGGTCATTGATCATGGGCACAGAAATAAGCAAGAGCATCACTCTTTTTCATCCATGGAAACATCATTTGGTGGTAACAATTGCAGTAAAATACACAGACTTGTCATCAATCTAGATTTCAAGAATAGTAAATTTCGTCTCCTTAAGGTAGATGAAAGAGCTCGGCATATTCTGACAATTTTATTTGGGAAATTTTATTCTTTGGCATATTCGATATGAAGTTCCAGTGATATCAATTTCTTTTTACCTTGTGATTATTATTATTATTAATTTTGTTGATTCGTTGTTTTGGTTTGTTTGGATTGGAATCTTTAGAACATATGTAAATGGGCATGATGAGATTTTAACGTAAGGTAGGTGTTTCAATTATGCTAAAATAGCTAGTCACCCAACTTTCTTTATCCATGTCCTCATGGAGTTCTAGAAGATATTGTATACTCTTTCTTGAGTACATAAATGTTGGGTTAACCACTCTTTTGTACCCTTTTTTATTTTTATTATTTTTTTACGATTTTAATTCAGACCCACATTAATGATTTGAATTGCTTATCTTGTAAAATTTGCAATAAAAGTTACCAATATAAAAAAAATGAGTTTCATCAAACAATTATAAACACAAGAAAAAATTACATTTTGTTTTATAAAATGAACGACAAATGTGGTTATAAAGTTAAGAGTAGTGATTGGTAGCTCGAATTTGAGCCCCCCGAATCCCCCGAATTCAAAAAACGACGTCGTTTTTGAATTTTATTTTATTTTATTTTTTTTAAGAAGAAGAAAATCAGAGGAAGAAGGAGGAAGAAGAAGAAGAAGGAGGAGGAGAAGAAGAAGAAGAAGAACTGGAGGGGAAGGGGCCAACAAAATCGGGTTGGAGGCGGAGGCAGGGCCGGAGGCGACGGCGGTCGAAGGCAGGGCTGCGACGAGCTGCTGCTGCGACGATCGGAGCTGCTGCGACGATCGGCCGGTCGATCTGCCATCGATCGGCGGCGGCGGAGGCGAAGGAGGGGCCCTCTCTCTCTCTCTCTTCATTCCCTATTCTCTTTCTCTCTTTCAGGCTGTTCGGGGGGGATTTCGGGGGAAAAATCATTTCCCTAAAGTTAAACCATCTATTTTATAAAATAAAATAGTAGTTGTTCCTTTTCTGATGGAGTTGATTTTTTACATGTATAACAATTATTGAGAGTTCTACAAGATAGACAATTCGGATCATAAGTGCAGGTCCAGAATTAAGGTCACAAGAGAATTATGGAGAGGTATACAGAGATGAGGTATATGAGGGGAGCATATCTCCATAATATTGCTTCTTATCACAACTTTAACACTGGATCATGAATTTGGATAAATTTTGTATCAAAATATCCAAAATTATGATCCATTGTGTTTAGATCATGCATTTTGATAGGGATTTAAAAAGGGAAATAAATAAATAAATAAATAAATAATTTCATTTCCATTTTACTCATTTTTCTTTTCAAATTTATGATACAAACCCAATATGTATTTGAATAAAATTTAGAAACATAAAAGGTGAATAAAATACAAGTTTACTATTTTTTTTTAATTTCCTTTGCTCTGTTTCTTCTTTTTTTCAAATCTTTATTTATTTATTTATTTTTTTAAGCAAACTTTATTTTACCTCCATGTGATTTGGGTCATGTGCGGTTTACTCTCTAATGTTTAAAAATGAACATATAACCCCCACGTGGTTTGTCGACTAAAGTGCACAGTTAAACATTTTGTCCAACTTAATAACAATTGTGAAACACGTGACAGATATAAAGGGGTTATATGCTCATTTTTAAATTTCAAATGGATAAATCACACATGAAATAAAGCATAGGGGTTAAAGTATACTTTATCTTCCATACAAATGACTCAAATATTCGTAGTTCACACACTTAAATTACTTACATACAGGGTATTTTAGTCTTTTTTTATTAAATTGTTAACGAGTCTAACGATGCACTTTAACTTACAAGTTATGTGGGGGTTATATGGTCATTTCCAAAATGTTGAGAGGATAAATCGCACATGACCTAAATTATAAGAAAAATTATATTTCCACACACCTATATGTCTCAGTACATATCGGGGGTGTTTGGTGCAGCTTTTTTAAGCCAACTTATGGCTTCTGGCTTTTAAAAAGTTATTTTAGACTGTTTGGTTAAACTTATTTCAAATAGCTTCTGATTCTAACAACTTATTTTAAGTCAAAAAAGCTGATTCTGATAAGCTGCTCACCCCTTGCTTCTGATTATCAGCTTCTGCTGTGGACATGTTAATTCACGGTTATACTCTTAGATTTTTTTATTTTTTATTTTTTTAAAAATAGAAAAAGACTCAAATGGACTATTAAACATTATTATTATTTTTTATAAAAAATGTAGACAAATAGTGAATAATAAAAAATAAAAATTAATTGAAAAAGTTACTTCACAGCTTATTTAACAAACACTACTCAGGTGGTGTTTGGCAAGTGGGTTGGGGCTAAAATAGCCACAAAAGACAAAACAGGCTATTTTAGCCACAACAAACAAAACATCACATCCAACCCATAATCATTACACTCTTCTCTCACAAAAAAAAGCCAAAAAGCCAAAAAGTCAAAAAGCCCTTCCCAAACCAAGCTTTTTAGCCCAGGCTAAAATAGCCAAAAAAGCCAAAAAGCCAAAAAGCCAACCCACTTCCCAAACGGAGGCTCAGCAACTTAAATCTATAATCCAACAGCTATACCAAACAGATTAACCGCTTCTGATTAAAGTCATAATCTATAATCTGTTAAGTTATAATTTATAATCTGTTTTAACAGCTACACCAAACACCACCATCATTTCTCAATACACACATTTATTAATTTGATTATTAATTATTTTTCGCAATCCATATAATAAATGTTTAATTTTACCCTTTACGTACATACACGAACCCGTCCTTCCACACGCTTGTTGAGTAGACCCCTGCTACGATTTTAGGCTAGTTGAAAATTGTAAACCCACACTACTGTGGTTGCAGACACACATTGAAGACCAAGTGAAGATCACAGTCTTCCATTCCATTGAAGACCCCATCGCCACCACCCTTAAACACAACAGAAATCCGTCAGGTCATTAATCTTGGGCATAGAAAATTTCCATCAGGTCATTGATCATGGGCATAGAAATAAGCAAGAGCATCGCTCTTCTTTATCCATGGAAACATCAATTGTTGGTAACAATTGTAGTAAAATACACAGACTTGTCATCAATCTAGATTTGAAGAATAGTAAATTTCGTCTCCTTAAGGTAGGTGAAAGAGCTCAGTATATTCGGACAATTTTATTCTTCGGCATATTCGATATGAAGTTTCGGTGACTCAGCTCCACGCCTTTGGATTCACCGGTAGTTCCCGAGGAGTTGAGAATCGCCGCCGTATTGGACTAAGAAATGCTAATTCGGTGACATTTTCGAGTTTGATTCGTCATCGTGGTCTCGAACTACGGCGAATCAAGAATAATCATACGGTAGAGAAGTGAGGGATAGGGAATACGACAGCGTGTGGCGGCGTTGATGAGTGCAGCGGAGGTTTCCGGCAAGGAGAGAGAGTTTTGGAGGAGGAGAGAGAAGAGGAAGTCAGTGACGGAGAGAGTGGTGGTTTCGGGAGAGATGAGAGAATGGGTCTGATGGTGTGGTATGTTTTGGTCTCTGAGCAGAAACCACTGTTTGGATCAATGGAAGAGGAAGATGCATTCGGATCTCGAGTTTAATTTTTTTTTCCCCCCTACTCAAAATGTACATTGAGGCTTCGGGAATAGATTTTTTTAGCAATTGTTTTGGTTTTTTTAGTATGTTTGTGATAATTTTTTGATTTTTTATGAAAAGATGTGTAAAAAATAGAGAGAAAAGAGAATATTTGACTTCTTGATATAGGTTATTGACTTTTTGATTTTTTTAATAATTTTTTGACTTTTTGACTAAAATCATCATTTGCCAAACGATGCTTGAGATTTTTTTATTTTTAAAAGATATGTACAAAGAATATTTTAATATAATATTATAGGTGCATTTTGATGTTTATTATGGTCATTTTACTTTAAGATTTAATTGTCATTGAAATAATATTTCATTAAGTATATGTACTGAGATAAGTAGGTGCGGAAATAAAATTTTCCAAATTATAGGGTTAAAGTGAAATTTGCTTTTTTATTAAAAAAATGTTTGCACACATGATATTGAAGGTTATAAAAGACAGAGTAAATATTTTTTAACACCAATTAAATTAATTTTAAGAAATTGTGAAACTCGGTTTGACAAGTGAGATTATTTTGTTTTTACTTTGACCAACTTGTAATTTCTTATATTAATAGAAAAAATAAAAACTTGTAATTTCTTATTCTTAGAGAGAGTGATAATGACAATACTAGGTGCAGTTTTTTTTTTTTAAATTGGTAGGATAATATTATCTTGTGTTCTAGTTTGAGCAACTTGTAATTTCTTATATTAATAAAAAAATAAAAAATTATAATTTCTTATTCTTAGAGAGAGTCATAATGACAATATTAGGTGGAGTTTTTTTTTTAATTGATAGGATAATAATTATAAATATGAAAAATATCACATTAAATAAATCACAAGAGGAATGAATAATTTTTATTTTGCTGTTTTACACGTATTTCATATGACCAAGTTATAGAAGTCAACGATTAAAAATATGAGACAAAAAAAATATAAAAAATAACACGGATTATCTTATATCAATTACAACTCATGTCCCTAAATTTTCATTGCTTCATCAAAGTTGCCCACCAAACAATATGCATGTAACAAAGCCCCATAAGTCACAATAGTAGGGCACAAGACCATCACCTATCAATGAACATATTACAATTTTGATTTTTTATAAAAAGTTTCCATGATTTTTTAGTCTAGAATACCTAAAAAATAGATAACTATGGGCAATAATTGAAAAAGGTAGCCTAAATTTAAATTTAGTAATGCTAAAATCATAAAATTTTGGATAAATTATGTAAATAGTCATTGTAGTTTACACGATGTGTCAATTTGGTCCATGTCGCTTCAATTTGCTCGATTTTGTCCCTTAATTTAACGGATTGTGTCATTTTAATCCAATAAATAATGGTTGTTGATTAATTTAACGGAAGATCAAACAATGTGTCAATTTGATCATTGTACTTTACACGATGTGTCAATTTGGTCCCTATAGTTTCAATTTTCTCGATTTTGACAGGGACTAAATTGCCACATTGTGAAAAATACAAGGAACAAATTGACACATTGTTTGACTTTCTGTTAAATTAACTTAACAACTGTTATTTATTGGACTAAAATGACACAATCCGTTAAATTAAGGGGCAAAATCGAACAAATTGAAACTAGATGAACCAAATTGATACATCGTATAAACTACACAGACTATTTGTATAATTTTCCCTAAATTTTTTGTCAAAACAGGGTTAAAGATTTAGAAAGCAATTAAATTTTAGTAATGCTAAAATCATAAAATTTTAGATGTCATGGGTTGGTATAAAATATGAAAGATGAAGCATATTAAAAAACAGTTTCCATCATTGTTTTAAATGTTCCAGAGAATTCTAAATTCTTCCATAAATCTAAATTTTTGTAGGAAACTTTGGCAGGTTGTGACACTGGGTGACTACGGACCAGTGAGTCAGTGACCCGTATAACCTAACTTGATATTTTTATAACTTGAAATAAATATTTTGACACGTAGAGTTGGGCTTGGGTTGAGATTTGGGATGAAGAATATTTTGACACGTAGAACCCGTTTATTTTTTAGGATGGACTTGGGATGAAGAATATTTTTAGGACCCAAATTCAAACAATTTATTTAACCCAAATTTATTTACGCTGTATTTGGTTGAGAGATTTGAGAAGAGATTTAGAAAGAGAAAGAAGAAGATAAAATATGTGTGAAACTATGTAAAATATAAGTCTATTTTATTCACATTTCGCCTATCTTTTCTGTTTCTCTTTTCAAATTCCTTTCCAAATCCCTCAATCAAACACAGTGTTAAGATTTGATTTTGTTTATGACCCAAATTAAAATAATTATTGATGGTTCCAAATTTATTTCTAATAAAAAAATGCTAGAGATCCTTAATAAACTATACTCAAAACTACCCGTAATGAGGTGCAAATCTCATACCCATTTGGATGCTGAGCCTACATTTCTTTTTAGTTAAATAGTTTCTATATTAGTGTAAGCAGATAGGCTTTATATATAAAAATTGTTTTAGGATTGAGCTTAAAAAGGTCAAATTACAGTCGATGTTAAATCTAACTCTAAGCAACTGTAATGTGTTACTCTCTATTGCTGTTGTAGATGACTAGGTCAACTGTGGTCTTCATTTGAAATTAATTGTATATCTGCTCTTTGGACTGTTTGGGTGTGAGGATAAGAACCGCTGGCAAAATTCTTAGGGTTGGTAATCAATATTTTGAATGCTTCTCTCGCTATTCCTCGTCGAAATCCTCCAACTTTGAGAGCTATGTTAGGAACTATGTACAATTTAAGAGTTGATTATAATTTTTTTAGGGATTGGCTTTTTTAGAAGTTAAAAAAGTTAATATATTTGAGAAGTAGTTTAATTTTTTTTTTAAAGTAAAAATTGATGCGATATTTAAATTTTTTAACTGATGGCAAACAAGCCTTTTGACTTATTTAGAGAGCTATGTTAGGAACTATGTACAATTTAAGAGTTGATTATAATTTTTTTAGGGATTGGCTTTTTTAGAAGTTAAAAAAGTTAATATATTTGAGAAGTAGTTTAATTTTTTTTTTAAAGTAAAAATTGATGCGATATTTAAATTTTTTAACTGATGCCAAACAAGCCTTTTGGCTTATTTACCACATCTCAAACACTCTAAATTTGTGTTAGTGTATTTGATACAAGTTTTTTTTTGTCAGAAATATCTTCAATAAGTTGAAAAAAAACTAAATATTGAAAAGCAAGAAGAAAAATTTTTAGTTTTTATTTTTTGATTACCATTAATTTTTGATTTGTAAAAAGAATACTAAAGAGGCCTATTAACTTTTTGTAGTGTCATTAGTCAATAAAAAATTACAAATGACAAGTATAAATATTTTCCTTCCTCGGATTAATTTAATTATGTAATACTATGACGATATTATCACAAAAAATCACCATTATCCCAACAAGAGATTGAGATTATGAAATTGGAATAAGGGCGTGGGTCAATCATATCCCCTATGTTTTAGAGTTTGAAAGCTAGTCATAAGTGTGGGACACATAATCCTTTAGTTGGTATATTGTGGAGTTTTTGTACAAAATAAATCACAACTATTTTTGATGCTTTCCCCATCAACATTTGATGCATTTTTTTTGGTGATTGTATTCCCCCTTTTTGCTTAAATAAAATTATTTTGTCAATAATTTTTTTTTTAATAATTTGATATTTTTGCCTACTTGTTGAATTCCAATTAAAATTAAGACAAAATTTTATATGAACTGATCTCAAAAAATTATCTATATCTAAAAAATTTTGGACTTAAAACATTCAAAGGAACACATTCTAATACCGAGGCCAACCCTTTAGAAGTTAAACTATACATTCATATTTTCAAAAAATTGTGAATGAAAATTTTGACTATGTGGTACCTATGACATTGGTCCTGTTTGGTAGAGCTGTGGGAAAGTGCTTATAGCTTATGCCTAAACAGCTTATAGCTTATAACTTTCAGCTTAAGCTGATTTCCAGCTTATTCTTAAAGCATCTCCTGCCCCACTCAAAGAATAAGCTGTTTTCTGACTTCCACAAAGCTATAAGTTATAAGGTATAAGCTAAACCAAACACATCAAAATAGCTTAAATTAAGCTGAAAGCTGAAATAAGCTGAATTTAAGCTGTACCAAACAGGGCCATTATCAATTGAGTCTTAAAAGCTCATATATGCATGCATGGCAAGGTTTGCTTTGGTGATAACGTCACATATACGTGGAGCACGTTTGCCTTCACCAATGGGCAGTTGAACTGAATTAGGTGAGTTGTAGTTGGCCTTAACAATTGAGTACAAGCTTTTGCCATTCTCATCAGAACACTCACTCTCTCTCTTTTCTAGTAGGTCTGTCCACCCTCTTTTCACCTTCCAAGACCCATATCTATAAAGACACAACCCTAATGAACATTCTCATTTTCCTCTGATCTCTCATTCTCATTGTTTGTTCCCACCTCATGGATCAAAAACAAGCCCTACAAGGCCCACAACCACCACCACCACCACCCAACAACAACCCATCTTACCTCTTCACTCCTTTACTCTCACCCACCTCTCTCCACCACCCTCCTCCACTTCTCCACCCAAACCCAACTCCCCAACCACCCCATCTCCTCCATGACATTGACTGGGTCAGCCTTCTCTCCGGTGGGCTCGGCGACATGAGACCGATACTTGAAAGTGCTTCTTCTATAGCATCAACATCTCAGAGTGTAGGTAATGAAGGGATTAAGGAGGATAGAAGGAGAGGGAGCAGGGGAAAGAAAGCGGCTCGACCTCGGTTCGCGTTCCAGACTAGGAGTGAAGATGATATACTGGATGATGGATATCGTTGGAGAAAATATGGACAGAAATCTGTGAAGAATAATACTCATCCAAGGTGTGTTTGGAATATATATATCTACAATCTACACATATTTCATGCATATAAATCATGTATCGATATCTATATTTTTATATAACTAGAGATTTTGGGTGTCAAAAAAATATTTCATGCATATAAATCATGTATCGATATCTATATTTTTATATAACTAGAGATTTTGGGTGAAATTTTTTGACACGTAATGTTAAAATTTCGCAATAACATAGGAAAAAAAAGACAAATTATCGACATCTCCTTAAAGTTTAGTTAAATTTTAGATTCCTCTAATATTTCAGAAATTACATCCTGTCCTCCGAGATTTATATTCGCATAAAAATTTAATCCCTATCATTAACTAAACGTTAAGAATTATTAGCTATCACCAAAATATAAATTGATGGACGATATTACCCCTGCTAAAATCCCTTTAATAAATCAACAAAATTTACAAAAGAATTACGTTAGATGGAAAAAAAATTTAAGTTTTTTGAACCATGTTTGATATGTTGTTTAGAAAAAAATTGCAAAATTTAAAAATAAAAATAAAACTAATTTAATAAAAATAAATATGAAAAAATATATTTAATCAGTAAAAATTATTTCTAACCACTCAAAAGATAAAATTATATAAAAATAATAATAATTTTTTATTTTTTTATTTCTTAACCAAATTAATTTTTAATTTTTAAAAAAAATTTAAAAAATCAAACCAAACATATTCTAAGAATTTTTTGACAAATCCTTTTTTTTGTGTTTTTAACTTATGTAATTATTTTTTAATTTTATGATATTTTCACTATCTGATAGTACAACATATAAGAGTTTTAGAGGCTATTTTTTTTTTAATCTTTAAAAGTGAAAATTTTGTTGTAAAAGACATTTATAGACTAATTTCTATCGTTGTGAGGATAGTCGCTAAAAGGTCATCCTGAAAAGTCAAAGATAAGGCTTTTAGCGATAAAATTTTGAAAATGTCAATAATAAATATACTTTTAGGGAAAAAAATAATTTGGTCTCAAAATGATTTATTTTTTGAAATAAAAGATTTGATACAAAAAAGATAATAATTGATCACTAATGTTCAATTTTCGTTGTTAAAAACATAATGACGATACTTTTCACAACAAAAATATTTGGCCTTCTAAAAATAATTTTGTCCCTAAATTCTGGTCTGTAAAACCTTAATTTTTTATAGTGTGATAAGTGTTTTTCTATTTTAATTTTGTATTTAATCACTTATTTAAAAATAATAATTTAGCTAAACCTCAGGGGAAAATATTTAATTTAGCTAAATTTCAGGGAGAAATATGTAATTTAGCTAAACCTTAAGGGGGTGTAGGTAATTTGCCCTTATTTGTCAAAAGGACATTTTAGTCAATTTATAAATTAATTGTAATGGGACAGAATATAATTTTTAAAATCTCAAAAGATAACATGTAATTTCATTAAATCTTAAGGGCGATTTAGGTAATTTGTTAAAAACAATGAAAGTATAAAGTTAGTGCCGAGAAAATTCAAATACAAACTTCAGATGATTGGACATCAAGACAATATGATTCTCTCTATTTTTTTTTATATACTTTTTATAAAAAAAATTTCATTGGCAAAATAAAATTAGATTGATGAATTAAACGGTACAAGCACAACAACAAAATTACATCATTAAAAAGGGTCTAGAATAGGAACATCATCCGTTAAGAAACACAACAGTGAGCAAAACTAGATGGTGAGAGAACTGGTTTACGTAGTGTGGAAAACTGAATTATTTTTGGGATGTTTTTGTCTTTCAATTTTTTTTTTCTAAACAATTATTGATTAAAATAGTTTAAATAATTATAAAAGTATGTTTTTATTTGGATAATTATTGTATAAGAAGTAGTATTACACAGAGGAAATGTCTAAATGCCTAGAATTGGGTACCAGAAAATTAACGTAGAAATTAAATGGAAGACTGAAATAAAATTGATGTTGTAATGCCCCGAAATAAAAGTAATAAACCCACAAAGACAATAAGTAAATAACAACGCGAATCAGAGTGCGATATTCTTCTATTACATAAGATTGGTGACACATGCGATATATATTTATAAATAATACATCCTGAATCTATAACATGTGTTACCAAGCAGTAAGAAGAAAATGAAGTTAAACAAATAATCATATGCCCTAAAAGCATACATCTTTTTAAGTCAAGGTTTGGCTACAAGAAAAGTAAATCTAAGGCTCAATACAAGTAAAACCCTCAACTTGTACAAGGAAGAATACAAAAATAAACAACTGAGCCTTCAGCTCCATAGTCGTCCTAAGCTAAGTCCTTGGTAGAGGTATATCATCAGTATTTGAAAATGATTTTCTCAAATAGGGTGAGTCAAAGCCTAGTAGAAACAATTTAACATAATATATGAATCTTAACAAAGATGTAAGTGTAATATGCACATACAATGCCCGTGATAAAATCATTTATAACTCTTTTGTAAACTCATATTGTGTCGAACTTATATCTTGATCCATTTTATTTCAATTCAAGAGTCATTTTCATTTTATTCAGACAATTAAACTGAGGATACAACTCAGTGAGTCTCCAAACCAATATAGCCAGCATACAAAACACCTATATTTTCCATTTTGTGGATATTTTGTCCGTGGGAATCGGCATCCATGTATACTCATGATTTTTGGGACTTTCACCATAGACACTTCGGCTAACTTAATTCAATGAAGTACATCTCATTTTTTCTCCCAAACATGGAGTATATCTCATTTCTTCTCCCAAACATCATATATTTACAATGTATTAAAGGCGTGACAATGCTCAATGCAAATGGATGAGAAGATTAGTTTCAATTCACCTAATTCTCATGCAATTTCTATAACAATCATAGTTATCCTCCACCGATAGCTCAAAACAGCTATTTCTAAACAGATATACAATCTCCAAGACAGATAAATTATTCATATTTCAAAGTGTGAGCAGTAATTACATAACCAACTCCACCACCCATATCATCATCCATCCAATTTCACAATTTCAATTTCAATACCAATTCCATTTTATTTATACAAAATCAATATTTGAGACATTTTAGAGTAAACTCCCATTTCTTCCAAAACCCAACCCAAGTATGAAAATTAATCAGCTTGCTTGGTTTCTCTTTTCAGAAAACACTTTTCAGAAAATCCTACTTTCTTATTTTTCTTGTTTTTTTGTTTTTACTGAATTTTTTTAATATTTTAAGCAATTTTTTTTTTTTTACTTTTTAGACACACCTAACATAAATACACCTAAAAAGTAAAAAAATTGTAAAAAAAATCTTTTAAAAATTCACTAAATACCAAAAATACAAAAAAAATATAAGAATTCAGTACATTTTTTGTATTTCTGTGTATTTATTAATTTTTTAAAATATTTTTTCACAAATTTTTTACTTTTTAGATACATCTAACTAAGGTGCATCTAAAAAAGTAAAAAAAAATGTTTAAAATTTAAAAAATATTCACTAAAAACAAAAGAATACGAAAACCAAAAAATTCAATTTTCAAAAAACTTAATCCAGAAAACTCAAACCAAACACACTGAATAATTTTATTATAACACAACCTCATATTCACTCCTATATCTATTTCCAATAAACATCTCTTTTGATTTTAAACCAAAACCCCAGGTTTGTTCAAAATCTCCCGAAATCACAATATTGTTTATACAAAACAAATAGCTAAGTTAAAAGCCATAGAAGAGTGTAGAAAATCTCTATCTCAAGTTTAAAAGACGAGAGAGAGAATAGAGACATTTCAAAAACGTCGAAACCTAACTTTATTCGGATGAAAATGTAGCCCTTGAGATGCTCTACCTTTTTAATAAAGGCACACGACTAGAGAAACCACTAGATATAGGTGAAAATGTAGAGAGAGAGAGTGAGTTTTAGAGAGAGAAACTATATATCTAGGGTTTAGAAAAGTTTTAGAGAGAGAGAGATAGACAGATGAAAAAGTGACTAAAAAGTGACTTTTAGGAACTGATATATGCATAGTCTGCTCGAGCACAAGAATGAACGCTCGAGCGTTAAGACACAAAAAGTTTCTCCGCTCGAGCGCCAAGACATAATAAAAAGGACATCACCGCTCAAGTGTAGGAAAAGACGCTCGAGCGTAAAATACACACTCATGATAGTTTTGTAGACAGCAGACCAACACTCGATAGCAAGAAGGGTCACTCGAGCTGAGGATGCTCGAGCGCAGAAAAGTGACGCTCGAGCGTAGAATACACTCTCCCAGTAGTTTTGCAGACCAAAAGCAGTGAGAGTTCACAAAGCCCGCTCGAGCACAAGAAGTGCTGCTCGAGCAGAGAAGTAAAATTCTGGACAACAAGGGTTTGAAAACCAAGCTACCAAACTGTTCTAAACGCAACCAAAACAACCCAGTAACCAAACTTAATGAGGTATAAAGGAAATAAGACGAGAACAACAATACGAAACCATGAAACCTAGGTCGTTCCCGAAATTTCAAATCAAGTTTTAAAAACTATGTTTAAACCAATTACAATAATGATAATTAATTAATTCTATTATCATGATCCATTCTTATCAACTCGGTACGCATATTCCAACATTGAAAGTACAATTCACATTTTTTTTTTCAAAACATATAGAATGTTTATATTAAACCCGTGTTTCCAAAGCATATATAACATATACAATGTTTTCATATTTTCATTAACATAACATAATCTCAATACATATTCAAACATCAACAAATAAGTCTAGATACTTCCCACGGACTTCCAAATCACATTCCCAAGTTGCTTCCTCAACTTCATGATGTCGCCACAATACTTAAACTAAAGGAGTTGTCTTACCTCGCAAGACTTGGTCTCGAGTATCCAAGACTTTCACCTTCCTCTTCTCATACGAGGCATCCTCATCTACTTATAAGTCGGTCTAATCCAACATGTGCGATAGATCCGGCTCATACTTCCGAAGCATACAAATGTGGAACACATCATGAACCCTAGAAAGCTG